TGTTGTCTCTGTATATTTGAGATCCAAGTTTTAGTTTTTTAGCCAGTGCTTAGGAGCTGTGTGACCTTGGATCATTTAACTTCCTTATACCTCTAGTCGTTAATCTGTGAAATGGACACATTAATATCGTTCCTGCAGAAGGGCATGGGGCCAGACCCAGATGATGGCTTTGAGGTTTCTTCCAACTTCAGAATTTATGTCAGTTCTGTTTCATTGGCGATAGTTGTCATTGCAGTTAAGGATTTTAATTTTAGGCTGATAGCACTCTAAGTTGGAATAGTTTTATTGAGAACAATAATCTCAATTCTTGCTGAGTTCTCAATAACTTCTTAGATTCAACTCTATTTAATTTATGAAACATTTACTTTACACCTGCTGGGTCCTGGAAACAGAGATGAAAGATACTTCAGTCAAGGAGAGGAATGGGAGTGATTGATTAATTCTCTGAAGGAGTAGGAAGGAGATAATGTAGTATAGGGAAGGTTATTTAATCTTCATCTTGAGGAATAAATAGGAATTTGCCCACTGGGTATGAGGGATTAGGTGATTTCAGGCAGAGGGAACAGCATTTGCAAAGACATAGAGGTTTCAAAAACCATGACATATTTAAAGAACAAGACATCCTCTGTATACCTTGAGCATAAGTTGTGTGTGTGTGTGTGTGTGTGTGTGTGTGTGTGTGTGTGGTGGGGGAGGGTGTCTAGTCTTGTGGAACTGAACCCTTAACCTGTGGAATTTGGTGCTATCTGGGTAGATAGTGTCAGAATTGAATTGACTTATAGGGGACACTGTGCTGGTGTCTAAGAATTGCTCAGATATATAGGAATCCCTCCATGTTGGTATTGGGGTACAGAACCCTTTTTAGTGGGGTTGTTGATGAAGCATGATTTACTATGATTGTTGAAGTAGGATGATGCATATATGGAATTCATGTATTCATTATTTCTGTTTTTGTATGTATTTGAAATTCTCTACAATAAAAAGTTAAAAAAATAGTTGTGGGTATGTAATTCACAGTTATATCATTTCATTTATTCATTCAACCTTCAGAAATTAATTGATCATCTACTCAAAAGAGGCTCAAAATAAGTATTTTGGAAAATTTTGGATCTTAGTATAAGGAGCTTGTGATCCAGGAGTGGAGGTGACATGCACATAAATAAGTTTAAGATAAGTAGGAATATTATGAATTTCATATATTGAAGACAGGTCTACATAAAGTACTGTGGAAATTCTGGGGAGAAATTTTTTCCAGCCCCAGAGAATCAGGGGAGACTTTTTTTTTTTTTTTAAAGATTTTATTTATTTATTTGACAGAGAGAGACACAGCGAGAGAGGGAACACAAGAAGGGGGAGCGGGAGAGGGAGAAGCAGGCTTCCCGCTGAGCGGGGAGCCCGATGCGGGGCTCGATCCCGGGACCCTGGGATCATGTCCTGAGCCGAAGGCAGACGCTTAACGCCTGAGCCACCCAGGTGCCCCCAGGGGAGACTTTATAGTGAAGATGGCATGTGAGCTTTATTCATTCACTTAATTCAACAAATATTATTAAGCCCTACTATATGCTGGGTACTGTTCTCAGTCCTAAGGATCCAGCTGTGAACAAAGGTGATAAAGATCCTATGCTTGTGAAATTTACATCCTAATGAGGACAGATAGTACATAATAAACATAATAAGTGTATCTTATCATATGTTAGAAGATGATAGATGTTATGGAAAAAAGAAAAAGTAAGGCATAGTGAGGGATATTAGTAAAGTTGGGTTAAGGATAAGGAGGGAGAGGTTGCAGTCATAAATAGGGTGGTCAGCGTTGGCTCATGGACAAAGGTGATACTTGGGCAAACTCGTTTTTTAAAATTTCATTTTTTTTTTTTTTAATGAAGCATAGTTGACACACAATGTTGTTTGGGCAAACTCTTGATGAGGGATTGGCCAAGTGGGTATCCAAGTGAAGAGCATTCCCACCAGGGGCACAGCTGGACCGAAGGCCCTGAGTGGGAAGCCTGGTCCGTGCATTTCCAGGACAGCAGGAGGACCAGTGTGGTTGGAGCAGGGTGAGCAGGGGGAGATGAGTAGGAAATGAGGTCGGAGGTGTAATGGGGAGGGTGGTAGTGGTATGAGGGTAGGGGGCAGACCTTACAGGTAATTGTAAGAACTTTGGCTTTTACTCTTAATGAAATGAGGAGCCATTGAAGGATTTTGAGCTAGAAGTGTGACATGATTTGGCTTTAGCTTACCAGGATTACTTTGGCTGTTCTGTTGAGAACAAAAACTGGGGTGGGAGACCTTTTAGGAGGCCCTTGGTACAGTCTTGGCAAGAAACACTGGTAACGCAGGCTAGAGCGATAGCAGTGGTAAGAAGTGGTCAGATTTTGGTTGGTAGAACCAACATAGTTTCCTGAATGATTGGATATGGGCCATCAAGGGAGAGAAGGAAGGTGCAAAAATGGCAGTTTCGGCGGGACAGGAAGATCAGGAATTCAGTTTTAGGCATGCGAAGTTTGGGATGTTTCCCAGCACCTGAGTGGAGGTCAGGTAGGTGGTTTGAGTTGAGAGTTTGGGAGAGAGGACTGGGCTCTAGGTACAGATTTGGGAGTTCCTGTCCTAGAGATGACATTTCAAGCCGCGGGCCCGGATGAATTCATCAAGGGAGTGAGTATGGTTAGAGAAGACCAGAGGTGGACCGTGGTCATTGCAACATTAAGAGAATGCAAGAGAAGCAACGAGCAAAGGAGCTGAGTCTCTGTTTAATGGAAACTTCATTTACATTGAGGCTGATATTAGTTTAGAGTTTAAAACTCTATTATTTTATTGGATTCATGAATTGCCTTCTCTTTCCCCTTTTTTAGTGGGTCTCCTGTGAAACTCCTGTTTCCCATTAAGAGCACTCTTTTTTTTTTTTTTAAAGATTTTTTTATTTATTTGAGAGAGAGAGAGAATGAGAGAGAGAGAGAGCACGAGAGGGAAGAGGGTCAGAGGGGAGCCCGATGTGGGATTCGATCCCGGGACTCCAGGATCATGACCTGAGCCGAAGGCAGTCACTTAACCAACTGAGCCACCCAGGCGCCCTCCCATTAAGAGCACTCTTTTGTAAGGGTTCCACACAGGGGTCAGCAATTTTTGTGTCAAAGGCCAGGTAGTAAATATTTTAGGCTTTGCAGGCCTTTCAGTCTCTGTTGCAGCTACTAATCTCCTCTGTTGTATGAAAGCAGCTGTGGACACATAAGCAAGTGAACGTGGCGGTATTCTACTGAAACTTTAGTTATGGACACTGAATTTTGAAGTTCATGCGGTTTCCGTGTGTCACAAAGTTTTATTCTACTGATTTTTTTTTCAATTATTTAAAATATAGAGGTGCCTGGGTGGCTCAGTTGATTAAGTAAGTGTCCAACTGTTAATCTCGGCTCAGGTCTTGATCTCAGGGTTGTGAGTTCAAACCCTGAGTTGGGCTCCATGCTGGCTGGAGCCTATTTGAAAAAAAATTTAAAAAAATTAGTCTTACTTCACAGGCTATACAAAAACAGGCTGATTTGGCCTACTGGCTATAGTTTGCCAGTCCCTGGCGTAAAATGTCTTTTTTTTCCCCAGGTCAACTTTGACCTGGATCATTCTGCCAGATGCATTGTTTAGAAATCAGTTATGAAGTGTGTTGGCCAGCTCCTTTGAGTCTGTTTTTAGCCAGTGTCTATTCTAAATATAGGTTATTTGCATCATGTGTGTGGCCTAGTACATGACATGTTTGATGAGAGATGGGTCTAGGCAACTTCTAGGATCCCATTTACCCCCAAGATTCTAGTCCAGCGATTTTCTTAAAAAATAAAAAAAAAAAAACCCACACGATTCCTTTTGAAACTCTGTCCTCCATAGTTTCTGCAGCACTGTGGTCTCTCAGCCTCTTCCTGTGAGTCTTGACCTCCTTCTCCTTCTCCTTCTCAGGCTCCTGATCTGATCCTTTCTGTTCCTGCGGTCTCTGTTTTCAGCCCCCTTCTTTCCCCTCTCTCTCCACTCTCTGGTGACTTTCATCAGGCCATACCCTCAATTACCGTCTCTACACTGGTGACTAACAGATGTGCAGTTCAGCTCTGACCTCTCTTCTGTGGCAAAAAGCCTTTCAAGGTTTTCCATTACCTAGATGTTAAAATCCAAACTCATCAGCCCGGCCCAGGGCCCCCCTGGTGCCCCGCCTGGCAGTTGGACTCCACTGGGCAGCTTCCAGCATGTCGTCCATCGTTCTTGCTCCTTGCCTTTGCCTCTGCTCTTCTCTCTGCCATCATTACCCTCTCTTCTTTCCTCCATCTCCCTGCCCCCTACTCCCAGCACCCACCAAACTGATACCCTGTCCTTTAATAACCCACTCAGGCCACTTACCCTTCAAGATTCGGTTCGAATTTCTATGCCCCTGGAAGCCCTGTCTCATAGGAGAGGTTAAGCATTTTTCTCTGTGTGCCCATAATATCTTTAGTATCTTATGCCTATTTTCACTTCAGAACTTGCCTTATTGCAATAATTGTCAGGTCAAAAATAGCTGAATATTGGTTGAACATCAAATATATTTATAAGTTGGTACCTTCAATAGAGAAGAGTTTGGTCCTGCTCATCTTTGTATCCCCAGAGCCTGACATTTAGAAGGTGCTTACTTTGTGTTAAAAACGAATGAGCCCGGGCGCCTGGGTGGCTCAGTTGGTTAAGCGACTGCCTTCGGCTCAGGTCATGATCTTGGAGTCCCTGGATCGAGTCCCGCATTGGGCTCCCTGCTCAGCAGGGAGTCTGCTTCTCCCTCTGACCCTCCCCCCTCTCATGTGCTCTTTCTCTCTCACTCTCTCTCTCAATAAATAAATAAAATCTTAAAAAAAAAACGAATGAACCCATGAGTCCATGTTTATGTGGGATATGCTGACTTAGATACGGATCAAAGTATATTGGCATTAGTAAGCAAAATTGGATCTTTTTATGATGATGGGTCTTTAAATATATTTATCTTTTTGTGTTGTAGGAGGAAGATTGTTCCAAGGATGGTCTCCCATTCAGAGTTGAGGAAACTCTTCTGTTCGGCTGATGCAGTCTGCTTTGATGTTGATAGCACTGTCATCAGAGAAGAAGGAATTGATGAGCTAGCCAAATTCTGTGGAGTTGAGGATGCTGTGTCAGAAATGTAGGAACAGTATTTATTCACTTTATGAAATGATAAAGAATTGCAAAAGAGAGTGACTTTTGGATGACATGCAGGACCAGGGCCACAACTCCCCGATTTTTAGTCTCTGACTGCAGATCATGGGCAGTAAGCTTCTTCCATCACTCAGAGCTGAATTAGCTAGTGTACATCATCCAGTCATCCATTTATACAAATTCTTATGACCCAAAAAAAAAAATTTTTGCCTCTTACAAATAAATATGGATGACATGCTTTTAGCTCAGTCAGGGAAACGATGGCTGTAACTAACCAAAGAAGATGATGGGGTAGGGGGTCACCAAGCGTCCAGTGCTTTGTGTCGTGGTTGAATGTGTGGCCTTAGTGGTTTGCTAGAAAGCTAGTTTTGGTTCAGAGTCTCTCAGCTTATGCCTGGGTGAGAGTCTTCCCTCCTTCCTACCCTCCGCATTGCTGCCTGCAGTCACCAGGTCATGGACCATTTCATGTTCAGCTGCATTTGATGCAAGATGTGGCCACAATTATGCAGCCATCG